TCCTCCTCATTTTTCTTCTCTTTTGCCTCTGCCTCACGATCTTTCGCAGCTTTCTTTGCTTTGCCTTTGGGCTGGAAATCAGCTCCACTGTCTTCTTCCTTCTTGCGCTTTCGCCTGTTGCCTTTGCCTCGACCTTTTCCTCCTTTTGCTTCATCGCCGCTCGCTTCCTCTAGTTGCCTTTCTTCTTTCATTTTCTGGTCTTCAATGTCCAACTCCTCCTCCATGTCCAGCTTGATTTCACCTGCGCCCGTGTTATCTCCTTTCTTGTCATTTCCTTCTTGTGCTTTCTTTGGTGGACGCCCCCGCTTTTTTGGCACCTTTGCAGCTTCATGCTCGGGTTGATCTGCCCCGTCCTCTCCTCCAGACCTCTTCTTTGCTCTCAAACGCCTTTGTTCTGCCAGTATGTTCTGCAGCGCAGCATCGTCGGGTGACTCTGCAGGAAGGCCGATCATTTCTGGAATGTCTTCCAGTAGAGGCCGCGTGTCCTTGAACGTCCCCTTTGATGATGATGGAGCAGCAGGCTGACCAGGATCACTTTTGGCATCGATCTCCTCCTCCGGTTGCTGTTTTGCAGCGACCTCCTGAAGGCGTGCTTTGACATAGGCCCGGAACGCCGGAGTTGCATCCTTGTGCAGCTCAGAAAGGGCATCTTGCAGCTGGCTGAACAGGTTCACAGCATGTTTCACACCTGCTTCTTCTCCCACAGGCCCTCCATTCTTCTTTGCTTCATGGTTCACCTTGTGTGCAAAAAACAGTCCAGGATGGTTTGAATCATTTCTGGACATGGTAAACGTGCATAAGCTGGTGCAGCATTGCGGGTTGTTTTGATCACACACTCCATTTCATCAATGATCAATTGTTTCCAACCACGTTTCATGCATGTGTTCTCCACCTCCACAAACTTCTTAGGCTCCTTCTCCTTCGGGTTCGCTTGCTTTGTGTGCTCCAGCTTCGTGTCCTCCTGCTTCATCTTCTTTTTTGCCACCTCCTCGTCCTCCTTCTCATCCTCCTTCATTTGCTTCCGCTTTGTTAGCTCCTTCTCGTTCTCCTTCTCACTATCCTTCTCATTCTGCTTCCTATCCTCCTGTTGTCTTTCATTCTCTTCCTCCTTCTTGTCCTCCTCCTTCTCCTCCTTGCTGGCTTTATTCTCATCACACTTCCGCTGTGCAATCTTAGCCTTCTCTGAGTGCAATGTCCTTGCCATCTTTGCATTGTGCTCTTCTACTTTAGCCTCCAACTCCTTCCTGCCGTCAGCGTCCACTTCCTCGTCGTCTGTAAATACATCCTCTTCTTCTTCCTCTTCAATGTACTCCACATCCTGCTCGATGAGCCTGCCGTCAGCCAGGCCTTTCTTCTCCTTAGGCACCTCCACTTCTTTCTCCTTTGCACTGTCTTTCTCCTCTCCTTTCTTGTCAGCCTCTTTCTCATCTCCTTTCTTGCCACTCTCCGTCTCTTCTCCTTTCGTGTCACCTTCTTTCTCCTCTTCTTTCTTGTCATCCTCTTTCTCTTCTCCCTTCGTGTCACCTTCTTTCTCCTCTT